TGCCTCTGGCTTACCCGTTCGGATCTCGATGTGCACTATATTATCACTGTACATTAGTGTACTCATAATCGTGCTGTTATAATGGTGAAGGAATAATATAAGTCTAAACTTTTTCTACTGTGGTTTTATCTTTGCTACTCTCTCCATTACACCTGTGTTGAACTAACAGGCCATTTGATAAAATCCTAGGTTAGTTCTCATAATAATGGGTAAGCCTAGTGTCCGAGAGCTTGTATGCATCTTATGAGAAACGGTATTGATTTGATGCTTAGGGTGAAGCTTGTGTGCAGGAAATCATTGTGGTCAGTTGCTTGCATGTTTCGCAATTGTCGCTTTACAAAATTTGCGTAATTTAGTCAGGTTGCTATGATCAGCACTCCTTGCTATTGTTCGTGTCAATCGTTCAAAGAGCTCGGACTACTAGCTTGTTCAGTGTGCTCAAGCTTTCGTTCTACGAGTCTCACAATTCTTGTGCTTGCATGGTCCGGCCCTTTGCTTGTAGCGTATTCTGCAAATCGTACTCGTGTGTGCATTGACTAAGTCGTTGATTCTGCAGAAATTAACGGTATGTTACAGTTGGATCTCGAGTATTCGACTACTGATGCATAGCGAAATAACTTATGACCACACTCTAGACGAGTTCTAGACGCTGGTTTGTCGCGCATGAATTGATTTGCCATACCTACCTAAATTGTCCCTACAGCGTTTGTCTGGACAAATTGTCTCGTTCCAGTTGGGCGATTCGCCTATAAACGCACTTCTTACAGGCTCCTCCTGCTCCGCAACGCTGCGTTCACTTATTGTGGTGTCATACTTATTGAAGAAGAGATGGCACATCAGACTCCTCCCTCTACGGGGAGCTAGGGCAAAAAACTACTATGTTTCTCGCAGGAGGAAGATGATACACTCTACGGAGGCAAAATGAGTCAGTTTATAGTGCACCATGTGTCGGTTGTCCTCAGTGGTGAATCAGCGTCGTTGGCACTTCAGCTGGGCAAAAAAATCAATCTTGAGCCAATCTAGGGATACAGAGAGCATTCGCAAGGGTAGGAATTTGATAGGGAAAGGGAAAGGGAGGCTGTTTTCGCATTACTGTAACGATTTCAGTTTTACTAAAGGCAGGTACTGCTTGTTTCCCCGCTTCAATGAGGCCGAACCAGAGCAATGTTTCGGTGAAAGCTTCGAAAAGAATCGGGCTCGAGCACTTGAGAGTGGCCGGATCAGCACTGGGCAGCGTTGGTTTCATACAGGCTCATGTATTGGGTATTGTGCGCACAGGAATTTACGTCGGTATTTTTATTAAAACTGACGACTGTAATTCTCTGATTATCCAAGTAGTAATCAGACCCACAGTGTGGGGAGCATTATACATGTATCCCCAGCTAAATATCGGTAAGCCTTCAAATTGACATACAGGCTTTGGCAGCTCTTGGTCAATCCCTCTTGTCAATTCCAGTGGACTTCTTCAGTTCTCGATGATCAGCAAACCAAAGCTTTATACCATTGTCTGGTATTTTAAAGCGCAATTAGGTCTGCAACCCTCGATAGTCTAGAGTATAGTCTCATCTAAACTTTGAGGAGACTGGTTGCAGCTTATTCTTGATTGATAATCATGCTGAGAGTTGTCTGTGAGGACCAGTGGTTCGTGCTCTTTCTTGTCGAAGGAACGTGATACGCTTACACCTACTGCTATGTTGGCAGGCGGAACCAGGTAGCCTGATTTTATCTCTTCGTGAGACTGCCAGACCGCTCGCCTTGTCCTCCGTGAGCGGTGTCCCGTCGCTACTACTTTTTCAAACCAGGTCTCTGGCCGTGTTGGGAAAGGCCAGAGATCGCAACATTTAGTTGGTGAAATTGAACTAGTAAGCCCAGCCAGGAAGAGAGAATGTTGAGAGTCAGTACTACGACATCCAAACCAAAGGTCCCTGGTGAGCCAACGCGTTCTTTCATCAAACATATCGGGTCCCCTCTGCGGGGAGCGAAAACTACTTATTGGAGCTCTCGAGTCAACACGATTTTCCAGAGAGGCACAGCTCCAAGACAACGTTTAACTCACGCCACCTGAGCAACGTGTGTCATCAGGGTAGAAGGTAAAGTGGCAGGCTTGTCGGCCTGCTTTCAGGTGTAATAACAGTCGTATGGGTTCATATCAGTTACAACTGCCCCCAAAAACCACAACCTCATGGGGTAAATAGATTCTCTAATATCCCTAGTAACATCGTCCCCTAGAGAAAGTAGATGAAAAATGGTATGGCCCCATATTATTGCGAAATTCTTATTT